GAAGAATAATCAAATGAAAATTTTAGAGTTAAATAAAACTGTAAAATTAAAAATTTCTAGAAAAGATAACAATGTGTTAGACACAACAACACTGAGGATTAGTAGGGATGGAGAGAGTGTAACAGTGAGTAGGGCACTTGCCTTGCACACAACTGACTCAGGTTCGATTCCCTGGTACCACATATGGCTCCCTGAGCCCTGCCAGGAGTGACCTCTGAGTGCAGAGCCAGTATTGTTGGATGTGGCCCCAAAACAAAACAAAAAGTCTCAGGATATGAGGAATCCTGGGCCTAGGGAGAGAGTCAGAGAGGAGGAAGGAAAGAACTGGGGTATTAAAAGTGTCTCAGGTAGAGGAACTTTATAAGACCCAGTGGAGAGGAAAAAAATTGTAGAACTGAGAAATATGAGAATATAAGAAAGGGTCATGTATAGAGTCAGGTAGATAGCAGGAAGGAAATCTAGAGGAAAAAGACCTCTTCCCCTTACCTCTCTCCTTCCATCCTACCCTCCTTGGGTGTTCTGACCTCTTTAAATAGACAAACCAGGTTGCTATGTAGGATATAACCTCTCAGGGACACTCTTACTTCAGATACCACATGATTATCTTGCTTCATACAGGCATTTTATGAGACTTTCCTTTCCCAGAGAAGGTTCAGACAAGGCCATCTTCCCTTCCCTGGCTCACAGCCACACACCAACCTTTTCCTTTTTTTTCATCTTGTTTCCTTGTTCTATTTTGTTTTAAACAATCAATGCAGTCAATCCCACTATTCAACAATTCTGTAAACCCTTATCACTATCCAGCTGACACCCGCTGTGTGTTCACAGACATGCAGGATTCTTGTGGTGCAATTCCAGCAAGGGTGCATTGTGTGGAGGCTTCCCCACGCCTACAAGCCATTATCAGATACCATCAAGGGGTTGGAGAAGGCAACTAAATTCAGCTCAATCCTAACACTCTATTCGGAGCATCCAGTTATGCCAGCAAAGGGCTCTGTCTCCACCCTCTACTTCAGATACAAGCCCAGGTGGTGGTTCCCTGTGCTTCTCAACAAGTGGCTAGATATTCGAAGTTTCTAAGAGGATGTTGGCTTTCTTTGCTAGACTGACTTTACTCAATCACCAAGGTTATAATTTATAATCATGCAATTAGAAGAGGTGCCTAAGACCAGGTATAAGGGAAAGAAAAAGAGCTTCAGTGTCCCCCATAGACTTGCCATCACCCCCAAATCTAATATGTTCACTCACTCTGAAGTTCTCCAAAGACATTCCTTTTGAGCTTTTATAGAAGTTTCATTTCTTAGGCGTGGTTAATTCACTAGCTATTGACCATGGAGTTCAGGGAGGAGTGACTAAAGTTTCAGCCTTTAAGTCATAGGCTCACTTCCTCTTGTCCCCTCTTTCCTGGGTGCTTCCCCTGAAGTCATCTAGCAATATGACAAACACATATTTCTGATGCCCAACACTTAGGAGATACAAGACTTTGGAAAGCTGTGAGTCAGAGACTGTGGGTCTAGATCAAATATGTATAAAAAGTATATTTTGGGGTATAGCTATAGTACAGTGGGTAGGGCATTTGCCTTTCATGTGGCTGACCTGGGTTCCATATGTGGTGCTGGAGATCAAACTCTAGGTCAGCCAAGTCCAAAGCTAGAGCTTACCAATGTACTATCTCTCTGAAATGATTTTGTGGATCATGATTTTTAGATTTAGAATGGCCCCTAGTCTCAGTGCTACAACATGCAAGTCTTGAGTGATGGGAAACTTCTCTTCCAGTTTTCCTTAGTCAGAGAAGGCTGGGGGAAATTTGCATATCATGTAAGCTGTATTTAGGCTTGAGTTCTAGTGCTGTTGCCCCCAAGTTCAACATAAATTAATCAAAAATATGAATTAAATAAATCTTCTTTCAATAAAAATGCACATAATAGGGCTGGAGGATAATACAGTGGGTAGGGCACTTGCCTTGCAAGCAGTCAACTCAGATTCTATTCTGGGCATCCCATATGGTACCTCTAGTACCACCAAGAGTAATTCCTTCCCAACTTGTCCGGCCTTTTTTGGAAAACAATATGGACATTTCTCAAAAAACTATAAATTAAGTTCTCATTTGACCCAGCAATACCCTTCTGGGAATATATCCTGGGGGCCTAAAAACACTGCAGAAGCACCATCTGCACCCCTATGTTCTTTGCATCACTATTCACCACGGCCATAATCTGGAAACAAACTGAGTGCCCAAGAACAGAAAAATGGAAAAAGAAACTATGACACATCTACTCCATGGAATACTATGCAGCTGTCAGGAAAAATGAAGTCATAAAGTTTGCCTATAAATGGATGGACATGGAGAGTATCATGCTGAGTGAAATGAGTCAGAAGGAGAGGGACAGTGTAGGATAACATTGGGTTTGTCCTTTCAGCCTTGCTTCAGGGAACTTAGTTTACCTTAAAGCAATTTCCTCTCTGGTTGGATACAGGAAGACAGTTAATATTATACTTTGTAACTTGGGAGTTAATTGACTTCAATAACATTTACTCCTGGGCATCTGCTTTCTTGACTCAGTTGCCCTTAGTTCCTAGCACCCAAAAAGTAGGGTCCCGACAAGGGACTGAATGGACCCAGGATAAGTTGTGAGCTACCCTGGCATCAAAATGGGCCAGGCCAAAGCGCTACAATACTCTACTATAAGTTGAGAGCATGATCATAGACAAATGCTGTGTGATCCAAAAGTAACGACGAGATTAGGACCCTGCTGGGGTTAGGAAGACTAACCTGGCCTGAGGACTGTGGTCTGGAATATATAGTGAGATGTCCCAGGAAAAAACAAACCTTAAGTTTATATCTCTTACTGTGCTCGTACAGAATGACATTGCTAGAAATATTAGAAGTGATTTACTACAACTATTTAAGTGTGGATTACTAGCTGAGGAAAGAAGAAATCGACACACCCTCGTTGGGATCCCATCCTTGAGTGTAATCTGGAGTAATCTCCTTATATGATGTTTTATCCTTGAGTTAATCTCCTGGAGGAATGGTTTTACCTCTCTTTGTTGATGTTTAACCCCACCTTTGTATCCCCACCCTACATGATTTCTATATAAACTAGGCTATAAGAGTGGGCTGCGGGGGTGGGGGGAAGTCGGAAGGAGAATGAGGGAGAATGAAGGGTGCTCAAGAGAGAGAGAGAGAGGGGCTGGAGCAATAGCACAGCGGGTAGGGCGTTTGCCTTGCACGCAGCCAACATGACCGACACAGGTTCAATTCCCAGCACCCCATATGGTCCCCTGAGCACCGCCAGGGGCAATTCCTGAGTGCATGAGCCAGGAGTAACCCCTGAGCATCGCTGGGTGTGACCCAAAAAGCAAAAAAAAAAAAAAAAAAAAAAAAAGAGAGAGAGAGAAACAGGAGGGGAATCAGAGGAGAATGGAGAAGAGATTGGAATAAACTGCAATTGATACCGACCAGTCTGGCCCTCTTTCCTTCCTTTGCCTACCCATCGCCGTCGGCCTCCCCAGGGTGGGGGAAGTGGAGACCAACCGAACGCAAGTGGCAGGAGAGATAGAGTACCGCGGCCTTTAGAAAATACACAGGAAAGATATAGAATGTCTGCATTCATTTGTGATATGCAAGCATAAATATATAGCAGAAGACTAATATCCATGGCCAGGGTAAAGAGGAGTTAGGAGGACTGGTCAGTGGTTGGAACTAACCACAAGCATGTGTGGGGCTGAGGGTAGGTAAGATAGAGAAGAGACCAGTATGACAATAATTGCTAGGAATGATCACATTGGACAAGATCTGAGGGTTAAAAGTAGGGAAGGTATGTTCTGGATAGCCTTTCAGTATTCATATTGCAAATCACAATGCCCAAAAGGAGAGAGAGAGAGAGAGAGAGAGAGAGAGAGAGAGAGAGAGAGAGAGAAACAGAGACAGAGAGACAGATACAGAGAGGAGAGAGAGAAGAAAAGCACCTGCCAAAGAGGCAGGCAAGGTGTGGGGTGTAGGGAGTAATGGGAGGGAACCTGGGGACACTGGTGCTGGGAAATGTACACTGGTGGAGGGATGAGTGTTGGAATACTGTATGATTGAAATTCAATAATGAACGGCTTTGTAATGCTCTAAAAATTTTTTTAATTAAAAAAATTGAGTAATTCCTGACTACAGAGCCAGGAGTAGCCTCTGAGCACTGCTGGTGTAGTCCCGAAAGCAAATCAAATTAATTAATTTAAAAAATAAAAATGCACATAAAACTGACCCTATTTGGGGTCAAAGAAATAGTACAGTGAGGGGGACTGGAGAGATAGCACAGCGGGTAGGGCATTTGCCTTGCACGCAACCAACCCACTCAGGGTTCAATTCCCAGCATCCCATATGGTCCCCTGAGCAACATCAGGAGTAACTCCTGAGTGTAGAGCCAGGAGTAACCCCTGTGCATCACCAGGTGTGACTAAAAAAAAAAATCAAAAACAAAAGAAATAGTACAGTGGGTCAGGTGTCGGCCTTACATATGACCAACCTGGGTTCAATCCTTAGTACTTGTGGTTCTCCAAGCCCTGCCAGGAGTGATCCCGGAGCACAGAACTAGGAGTAAGCCTTGAGTAATGCAAAACAAAGAGACAAAACTGACCCCATCTGACAAAAACATGTTATGCCCAAAGAGGAGAGTGGGGCAGGATGGTGGGGATTGGGAGGCCTGAATGGTGACCAGAGAGGAGCAGTGCCCAAACATATGTGTGTCCAGGAAAAATGGGTTGGGGGTTCTCATGGGACACTGTTGTGCCAGGTCGGATGTGGTGGGGAGGCCTCTGAATGGACAATGTCCTTTTCCTCCTACCCCAGCAGGGTGGAGGGCTTGGAGGAGACATTAAACAGGCCACAGAACCAGAGGGGATAATGACTTCACCCAGACACAGTGAGCTGTACTGAGGCCTGAGTCTCATGGGTGACCTCACAATGTTCAGGGTGGTGGCTGGCCCACTGTTTGGACTTTCAGCCCACCATGCTGACCATCCTCTGGCTGCTGCTCAACCTTGCTCTGCCAGCACTGGGCTACTATGGCATCAGCTGTCCTGAAGGCAGGCCGTGCCAGAAAACCCTCCTCTCAGGCAACGACGTCTTCCTGTCCTGCAATTTTTCGGAGCCTCGGTGGTCCTACTACTTCCTGCCAGAGGCAGCCAGCTGGTCTGACAACTTCACTGCGGTTCCCAACATGCAAGTCATGAGTGATGGCAAACTTCTCATCCAAAATCCATCTGCTTCCCAAACCGGCTTTTACCACTGTCGGGACGGGAAGAGGAAGGCGGTGTTTAAGTACGAGATTGACTTCCAGGATGTCGGCAGCGTCAACGTGATCCACAGATCCCTGAACCAGAAGCCCCTGCAGAATCAGACCCTGCAGCTGCAGAACAAGGTCCTGATCTTCACCATGTGGGAGCCCTGGCAGGACTGTAACCACTGCGGAGAGGCCGGGGAGCGGAAGCGCCTGGGTTTCTGCTACATCCAGGAGCTCCCAGCTGACCCCGTGCCCTGCTGGCTGTACGTGGGGAAGAGCAAGATATGGTCCAGCCGCATGCGACCCGAGATGCAGATCGAAACATGCAGTGTTGCCTGCAAAAACATGAGGATAGCAAATGTTGTCTTCGATAACTACAAGTTAGATGAGAAGACGGATTCGGCCTGGCTTTCCTGCCCTCTGGGGTCCATCTACAGGTGATAGCTCCTAACCGGGTATTCCAATCTGGAAGCCTTTGGCGACTGATCCATGCAGGGAAAGAGGATTCTATGCAGGTCACCCCCTAGGCTCTCTCCGCAGTTCTCAGCACTGCTGCTATTGCTTTGGCAAGAATTGCCTAGAGGGGCTGGAGCAACAGTCCAGTGGGGAGGGCATTTGCCTTGCACGTCGCCGACCCAGGTTCAATCCTCAGCATTCCATTATAGTCCACCTAGCATCACCAGCAGTGATTCCTGAGTGCAGAGCCAGGAGTAATCCCTGAGCATCTGTGGGTGGGACCCAAACCCCTTACATTTCCCCCCCCCCCAAATAAAGTGTCCCCTGGAGCCCACACACTGTGGAGAACAGGGGCAGAAACTTGGGGTGAGGCCTGCTCTGGTTGAGGCGTGGACACAATGGTCATCTCACCACTGCCCACAGCCCAGGGTAGGGGTGGGGGTAGGGGTTGGACAGAGTATGTGGTTGAGACTGGGCGGGGTCCCAGAGGCTCCTGATCAATCCTGCACCATCAGGAGAAAATGGGCCTGCTCCCCTTGGCTTCCTCTTCACAACTCTCCGCCTGAACCCTCCTCTGCTATCCATCCTCCTTGGGTCAGGAGCTGGGAACGCCAAAAAGGTCTTAAGAGGTCTCTGGTCTCTCGTGGGGATGGGCAACTTAGAAGGGCCCTTTCCCAGAAGAAGTGGGGAGGGGGAATTCCAGACCTTAATGTCCACACACTTGGCCATGGGGTCTCCGTGACCTGCTTCCCTTCATGCCAGTGTCAGCGCCTCCTCTCTATGGGGTACAGATGGCAGAAGAACCCTGGCAAACTTTTGGGGTCTCTGGCAGTGAAGGGGTTGGACCTCACTGCCCCCATCTGGCCAGCTTGGTCCTTGCTGATCCCAGGGCTGCTTTTCCTGTCTTACTCAGGTTCGTCTGGGCTCCCCCAATTTCTTCCCCCCCCCTTCAAATAGCAATTGTTCACTAAACCCCCAACTCTCAAAGGCAGAGAACCCCTCAAGACTCGGATAGCCACTCTCCAATGTTTGCCAGATGAGGAGTCTCTGGGGTCTGGACGCAGGGAAATGAAGATCAGAACCAAGTGACAGCACCCCCAAAGCTCGAGAATCTCCCCCAGGACCCAAGCAGAGTCTCTCTTCCCAGGGATGCCTGGGTTCCAGTCGCTGCCAGCCCTGTACCACCCAGCTATGTGCCTGGCTTGTGGCTTCTCTGAGTCTCAGCTTCCCTGTCTGTATCACTGGTGTCTTTGGGACTGCCTGAACAAGCTGTCACTCTCTGGGTGGCTTAAGTGACAGGAACTCATCCTCTTCCACTTCAGGGAGCTAGAATCCAAGATGGAAGTGTCGATAGCTGCCCCCTATGGCTCCGAGCAAGCAGGGATCCTCCTTCCTTGCCTCTTCCTGGCTCCTGGTGGCCCCCTCTGGTGGTCTGCTCAGTTTGGAGCTGGGTCACACCCGTTGCCAGCTCCAACATGAGGCCTTTGCCCTGCCCTGCTGCTGTCTCTCTCGGCATCACTCTCTGCTTTCAGCATACGCCTTAACAAGGCCACCCTGCTGCCTCCAGCTCTCACACCTCGCATCCTCCCATCCTTGGAGGGTGGCAGGAGAGGTGGGGGCGTGCAGCTAATTTTGCCCTCCCTTGCAGGCCCCTCGTCTGGGAAGTCAATAACCGCCCGCTGACCTGGCAGGACCAGTTCCTGGGCAAGGACATCGGCAGCGTCATGGACATGTCGAGCGGGGGCCAGCGGCTGCAGGTCTTCCAGTCGGCCGTGTACAAGTGCTTCGTGCAGCAGGAGCTCATCGCCCAGTACAACCCCCAGCCTGACTCCGGGCACACAGCCCAGCCTCGGGGGGCTGGGCACTGGCAGGAGGCCACGAATGCCCAGATCGAGAAGGCCAGCTCAGTGCTCAAGGGGCTGCAGCTGATGCTGCTGGTGGGCACCATGCTGGGCCTGACGGGGGTGCTGTTGACCCTGTCCCGCCCTATCCGGAACAGTAAAGTAGACCGGGTAGTGGTGGTGAAATAAAGCCAGCCTGGGTGCCCGGGACCCCCCACCCGCCCCTTCCTCACCTTGGCTCCTTCCCACGGCACCCAGTCTGTTGGCACCCAGTCTGTCCGTCTCTTGTTTTCTCTCTCTCTCTCTCTCTCTCTCTCTCTCTCTCTCTCTGGGTCACGCCCAGCAGTGCACAGGGGTTACTGCTGGCTTTGCACTCAGGAATTACTCCTGGTGATGCTCAGGGCACCATATGGGATGCTGGGAATCGAACCCGGGTCGGTCATATGCAAGGCCAATGCCCTACCCGCTGTGTTTTCGCTCCAGCCCCTCTGTCCGTCTCTTATTTGTTTCCTATTCTGTCTGTCTGTTCGTTGGGTCACAGCTGACGGTATTCAGGCTGTATTATTGACTCTGTGCTCGGGATCACTCCTGGCCATGCTCAGGGGACCTTATGGGGTGCCCAGGATCGTATCCAGGTCAGACGTGCAAATCAAAGGGATCTACCTGCTGTACTACCTCTCCCAACCCTGTCCTCTCTCTCTCTCTCCGACCCCAGTACTGTCTCTCCAGTCCCAGAAGCAGCTGGTCCAGGCCCCATCCACCATGCACTCTGAAAGGCCAAGGGCTCAAATAGCGGGGTCTGCGTGTGAGCGCACCAGACAGCCACTGACCTCATCTGTGTTTCAGACTCGGCTCAGTGAGCTCAGACAGTCTCTGTTCCAGTGTGTGAGGAATGAAGCAAGAGACGCTCTCCCATCCTTGCAGGGGTGCTGGGATAAACCCTCACCCCCTGGCAAGAGCCCTGTGATGCTCACAGCAAGAAAGGGGTGCCATTTTGGGTGAGTTGTGGGTGCGTTTCTAAAGTCCAGGACAGAGACTCAGGGGCTGGGGCAGGTTAACCCAGGCCCTCTGATCAGCAGGCACCTGTCCTCACTGGCTCTGACCTCAGCAGGCCCCAATGGGGAATGGCTTGGCCACAGTTCCCAAGGAGGAAGGACAGCCGGAGCGGTGACCCGGGGTAGCCACCACACACATCATCCTTCCTGACTCTGGCCTCTTAGATCCTGAGACAGGGAGACAGTCGCCTCCACCAGGATGGGGCTCCAGAGCTGGCCCTGCTGACCCTCAGGAGTCACCAGCCCCTGGTGGTTCCCAGAAATTATGTGCTCTGGAGCACAGCGCAAGCGTGAGATAAAATATTAATGCCTGGTAATTGTCATTGCCCTGCTAAGCCATCGCAAGGTAACCGCAGAACAACTCTGTAGCTTCCAGATCAGAACTTCGGTCCCTGATGGGGAGGGCAGAGGTCCACTCTCTAGAACACTGTTGCCCAACACAGGAGGCTTCAGGGGGTGCCCGAGATGCAGATTCCTGCAGAATAGAACCAGGGGGCCCACTGGGAAGCAGACGCAGAGAAGAATGTGTTGGGGATGATGGCAAACATTTGTGGTATGGACAGAACTCACACCTGTCACAAGCAATGTGACCCGGGAGATAGAAGGCCTTGGGGAACCTTGTGGCAATAAGGGCATGGACACTGGTTGAACCAACCTGCTGGCAGTCACTCAGTCGACTTAGGAAGGGGCTAGTGATGGAGAGTGAAGAAAAGACCTTGGGACACCCCAGTGCCCCAGGAAACCCCAGTGTCCTCTGGTGGAGTGACTGGAAGGAGTGTAGCCAGAGCCAAGCATGGCCAAGTGCTGAACCCTAAGGTCACACCATCACAATCCAGGTGGACCCACCTCACTGTGGTAGGCAGAACCTGACCCCAGAGATCACTACCTTCCAGTATTCATAACTTTGGGGAGGATTTGGGGGGATTTCTTGGAGGGAGGATTTGGGGGATATCTTGGAGGGTAGAGGTGGATTTGGGGTCCAATTCAACATCCTTGTTCAACAGCCAAAGCCAGGAAGGATGATGTGTGGGCAGCTGCCGTGGGTCACCCAGCTGTGCTCAGAAGTTATTCCTGGCTCTGCTGCAGAGTTGCTCCCAGCAGCACTTGGGGGATTGAATATAGTGCTGAGGAACAATTCCAGTTGCCCACATGCAAGGCAAGTGCCTTCCACTCCCTGGACCATCTCTCTGGCACCTGTATCCACACCTCTGCATGACTCCCTCCCTTTCCGTGAGACCAGGCCTGAGACTGGTTTCTGACTGATGAAATATTGTGCCTTCTATCAACATTGGGATGGCCATCAATTGGGATGCTCCTTTGAGTCACAACCCATATGATGGCCCTATCAGATGAGAGCCAGAAGGGCTGCTGGCTTGATAAAGTGAGCATCCTTGTATGGGAAGCATGCTAGGCAGGGAGAAAGAAAACTTTAGGTTCCAAGAGACTACAAAAATTCAAGGTCCCAGGACCTCAGTCATCAGCAAATGAGCTCTGCCAACCTCCTGATGACCCACAAGGGACTGGACTGCAGTTGGCCTCCAGATGAGAGCACAGCCTGACCCACATCTCATCTTCATGCTTGTAAGATGCTGAGCAGAGGGCTCTCTGCTCAGCCGTAGGAATGGGGTTCCTATATAAATGCTGTTTGAAGCTATTGGCTGTGGCAATTTGTTAAATGGTGACCATATCTGACTGTTCTGTTACCAGCCCACCTGGAAGACGACCCCCACCTCAGCAGTCCTATTCCTGGTTTCTGAATGTACAGAATATCCCAGTTCTCGGGTCTATCAGAGAGTGGCGGGCAAGTAGCAGCTGAGAATTGGGTAGTTGGTGCTCCCAGGAGCAATTACTATGCATCACGGATTGGAGTGGGTGTGTAGACATCCAAGCCTCCCACCCTGGATGACACACATTCCAGATAAGATCCATTCTGCATGTTCCTGAGGGTTCCAGGGGCAGCTTCTGGGTACACAGCTGCCACCAATTCATTAAGGCATGCTTTGCCTTCTTCTCCACCTCATTCTCCTGAGATAATCGTCTTCAAATACTTCTCAGCCCTATATCTCATCTCTGAGACTCCATGAACACTAAACTTTTGGATGTCTTGTGCGCCCCAGGGAGTTGGTTCATTTTCCTCTAGTTTTTGCTGTTGTTAAAGGTTGGCGATGGCCCACTGACCTGTCTTCAAGTTCACTGGCTCCTTCCTCTTTTATCTCCATCCTGCTATTGTCTATTCTGGGAGCCTTTTACTTTTAGCTACTATGCTGCTTAGGTATAAAATTTCCTTCAGGGGCTGGAGCGATAGCACAGCAGGTGGGGTGTTTGCCTTGCACGCGGCCAACCCGGGTTCAATTCCCAGCGTCCCATATGGTCCCCCGAGCACCACCAGGAGTAATTCCTGAGTGTATAACCACGAGTAATTCTTGAGCATTGCCGGGTGTGACCCAAAAAGAAAAAAAAAATCCTTCTGATTCTTTGTAACTTATATATCATTATCTCATTACTGATAACGCTTATTAGTTTTTTAATAAATAGGTGCCAGACCCAGTGGTCTTCAGAGGGCCCGGGAGCCACCCTTAGAGGTTATTGGCTTGATGATACAGACCTGCCAGTTAAGTGCTAGGGCCCAACCATGTGGTCCTTGGGCCCTTTAATAATCAACAGACCATAAGAGCTACTCCTGCAATGATCCATGGAACACACAGCTGTGGATAGAAGTCAGAGCCTTTCACATGCTAGGGTCATGCTCTGCCACTTGATCTATTTTCTTGTTCCCTACACTTTCTGTTTAACTGCTTGTTGGCAAACTCCCCCAGAATTGCTAACAGAAAGTTCTCTTCAAGACACATGGAAAACTGAAGCAAGGAGAAATGTCATGGGGTCACAATTGCAATGTAGGAGTTCAATAAGATCAAATGGTTCTTTGAGACTACATTATAAAGGTCTAGTTGATAATAACACACTTTGTTGCAGTATAATCAAGCACGGGCCTGTTTCTTCTGAAAGTATCAGGGGTTACTGGAAATTGAGACGTAGGAGGGGAGCTATCTAATTTATGAATGTTGGCTTAAAAAATTCAAAAAGTTTTTCAACTCAATGCCAGGCAAAACATGTCCACAGGTCCAATTTGGCCCACAAATATTAATTTATGAGCTTTTGTTTCAGCCTTTATTGGGGTCAAGTGCACATTTCCATTTTCAATTATTCATCCAACAAACATGTATTAGCTGGAGTATCCAGACTTGGCTTCTCAAAGATGACATTTCAGATGAGACCTGAATAACAAAAAGAAGCAGCAGCAGAGAAGGACATCTCGATTTCCTGTGACTGCTCTAACCAGTTGCCACAAACCTGATGATATAAAATAACACAGGTATATGACCCAACAATTTTGAAAAATCAGAAGTGTAAAGTGAGTCTTATTTGGCTAAAATCAAGATGTTAGCATTAGATTTCTGGAGAATCCATTTGTGCTTGCTGTCTCCAAATCTATCACCAAAGACCAAGCACTTTCAAATTTCTCTCTCTCTGATCTCTCTCTCTCTCTCTCTCTCACACACACACCTTTTGACTCCCCTCTTATAAGAGACCTGGACACTGGAGGCAGACAATAATCCCAAATAATCTCTTCTCTTCTGATCTTAATCACACCTGTAAAACCCTTTCCACTCTCAGATCCCTGGGTTCGGAGCAGACATCTTTTGGGGGTGTTACATCACAATGCAGCCTACCAAAGTAAACTCAGGCTACATCTTTAAGGGCTCTGGGGTGGTGTCTGATTGGTGGAAGGAGCTGATTGGGGCAGAGCGAACTCTGAGGAGAGAACCAGGAGCCAGATCATGGAGAGTCCTGTAGGCCTGGGTAAGGGTTTTGGGTTTTATTGGGAGCCATGTAAAGCTTTGGGGCAGTAGAGGGATGTGATCTAATGTGCGTTTGAAGAGGTGATTCTGACAAGGTAATATTCCTTCCACGTGAGGGTGTGTATCCTCTGGAGCAACTGTCATTCTCATCTATGACGAGACAGAGCTGGTAAGGTGACCCCTGTTCGGCCACCCACACTTCCAGGCACACTGTAAGACAAAGCATGCCCCACATTCCATTTTAACTGCCCTGTTCTGCCCTTTTCCTTTCTGT